AAAATCTTTGTATTAATGTCTTTAAAGTCACTGATTTTTAATTTCAAATTTGTGCCATAAAATATTAAATACTTTTTTCAGATTATAATAATTTGTTCTATATAAAACATATAATATGTATATTTTTAACTTACGTTTTACGCAATCACTTATTACATAGTCATTGTTCGCAAAAAATTTAAATAGACCATGGAAGTTTTAATTACCTGGAATAACAATAGACTTACTTATTTCTGCAGAAAGCAAAAATAATATATATTACATTTTAAAAGTTACAAATTTATAGATTTATTAAAACTTGACATTGAATTTAAATACACGCGTATGATAGAATGTGTGAATGTTTTAAATATAATGTATAATTTAATTGAACAGTACAATTTTGTTATAAGATGATCATAGTTTGAAATAAAGTACAAGGAATGTATCAAATGAATGTATATCAAAGATACCAGAAGGTTTGCGACAATTAATGGCATTAGCAATGAATAAAAGTATGGCGATAACCCGCAAACCTTCTGGCATCTTTGTAGATACCCGTGAAAGCTTAAAAAGCGTTACAAGAAATATAAAATTCATTAACTAAAAAGAACGATACTTTTTATTAATTACAAGAAGCAAAAAGATATATATACATTACTTACATCACCAAAAGTTGCGATGGATAAATGGAATAATTTTCCCGCTGTGATCTTAATTACGTTATTCGATCGGGCGATAATCAGAATGAGACCCCGTGCAGTTTTGTGGTGTAGATTATACCAGTCAGTCATATATGCCATTTCCCCAACACGTTTGCACTAACAAATTGACAGAAGATTTAAATTTTCTATGAAAAGAATTTGACAATGTAAATTAGTATGATGTTAAAGAGAAATATTTGGTTTCATTAAAAGTTAAGTAAGGGAAAGGAGGAGTAAGATGACGATCTTAAGGTTTATTGATTCTTCTTTATTTCTGTGATGACATAAAAAGAATGTTTTTTTTTCAGATTTACTAAAGCCTTAGTTATTATATGTAAAATGAACTATATGTTAAATAAATATGTTAAATAAATAATTAGATTTTTGAAAAATTTTCATGTTTTAAGAATATGTCAGTTTTATAATCTTGCTCACTACTGAAAGTCATCTTGTTTGCAATTATTGTGTTTATTTATTCATTTAATAAAAATATTGCAAGGCGAATAATAAAGAATATTGTTATGTTATTCTATACATTCTTACCTATACTATACTATACTATGATTTCATAACAAAAGTGAAAATATCTGCTATAATTATTTCATTATTTATAAACTAACAGCAAAGAATTATATATGAGTGCATCCTAAACGTATTTCTTATTATATTATTTTCTTTTCTAAAAGTATTGAAATCAAATAATACAAGAGATGAAATACAAGAGATGATTCGCTATTATTATTCAAAGCTTTTAATGAATTCAGTATCGACTCGTCAACTGTTTTTAACTTGTAATCTAACTAATATTAGCAATTCGTTATCTTTTTCACTTTGCAATCGTTATCTTATTCCCCTTTCTCCTAATTAATTGTGATATTTTTTTCTATAAATATATTTTATTCCACGCCATTCTGTTGGCTGCGTCCAACAGACAAAACAGCTCAGTAAGCGCTCGAATCAGTGATTCTTCATTATTATATAAATCCTTACTCTAATACGTTTTAAATATAAATTCACATTAAAATATTAAAAGCATGAACCAAAGACCGCATTTGTTTATTTTGCAACTTGATAGTTTTTTTCGCGCTGTTAGGATTATATTTTTAGATCTAGAGGAATAGTTCTACTTCAGCAAAAAAAACCTTCCAACATCTATATTAAAATATTATGTTGTATGCGGTCATTGACTGAATTACCAAAAAATATTAAAATCTGATATTTCTTGGTTTCAATATCTTTCTATTCTCGACCTGTTCTGTAATAATCTCTCCGATGTAGCAAAATATAAAAATATTGAAACCCATCGATAAATATATAACGACGTAAGATGTTATTTTGGCGGTATCGAACGATTCCCAAGCCTAAAAGTTAAAATAATCTTATTTTTGCTGTATTTTATATGGTTTTCAGTACATATCTTAATTATAATAGAATAGTAATATATTTTCCTACATTATATATTTATATTAATAATATATTTCCGTTTCATAAATAAATGATATTTAAATGTATTTTGTAAGATTTTTAAATTTTTATGATCGTTAACCTACCATAATAGTATAATATCCCATTAAACACAAGACTATCGTGCATCCCATTAATTCTGCAAGAGAAGCTTTGTGCATAATACTTTCCACACGTGATATAAAACTGAAACGTATAAATATAATAGAACTCTTCTTTTTCATAAATAAATTATGTATATATTGAATTGATGCTTTTCATGAACACAATGACAAGATCCTCTTTTAGTGATTTAGAAAAAGGAAATGAATTTATCTTTATTCTAACAAAAATATTTATTTTAATGATTAATTAACGATTAAATTGTTGTAAAAGATTTGAAAAGTCTGAGATATAAGCTGTGTATATTTTTTAGCGGTGTTTGCATGTGAATTACCTCAATATTCTTAGATGATGTTCTACAATTGCGGTTAATTTTTGATTTATATCATTTTTCTTCCGATTTTCAACAAGTTCATGTAGCCACGCATATAGCACATTCAGTTGACCACAAGCATGTTTCGCGAAGACGGCAGCCAAACTGCAAGCACCAACAGTAGAGAAACTCGCTACGAACATTGTTAGATTCTGCAGAATTAATACGATCTCATTCACAGGACTAAATCTCGTATCGATGATCTTGCTGTAAATTGGACAATTTGTTGGATGCGTCTTGAAAGTCTCGTTGCCAACGATGATGGTCGTAGTTTTCATCGATCTCCCTAAACTAAACAGAAACAAACTGCCTTGCATAAACACCGCGCAGATTATGACAATGAAGCGGCCGAACTTGGCTTGTTGTAGCATTATTTCACGATCATCGAACCCCTGTATGAGATTCCAATCTGCTTCCATATGTCGTATTAACTTGTCAATGTCATGACTACGCTTGAGCAGCACCCAATAATGTATCGAGCCCATAGCTCTGTGAATCAGTGGTGCCACGGCGTTCAGTTTTTGCTTGATATTGTCTGCTTCAAATAACACATATAACAAACACGGTATCGTTGTGACTGCTATCACGCTTGAACAAATAAAAATTTGTAGTAATATCATGATTTTGTACACTGAACTCGGCGTATTTATTCGTGGCCACGCACCGATTAGCTTCAGAAACCATCGATTAATTTGTAAGCTGTAATCGATATGTTTTTTTGGTATGTCGCTTTCTGGCGCACGTTTGGAATTTGACATGATCACTGCACGAAAGCACACGGTGTACTGCCACCACGGATAGAAAACTCATTGTGCCAGTGTATGAAGCGCCTGCGCCAATCTTCAGAAGAGTTTGGTGATCGGTCTAACGTTAAAAAGTTACTCTGAGAGGGATGTACGTTCAATCGATATAATTGTTCGTCCAGAGCTTCTATATAGAGCTCCGAAGTTTGAGAGGATATCGCGTGTTATGAGCGGTATTAGGATTAATTCGTAGAAGTAACATTGAAAGTTTTTTAATAGATTTTTTTATTTGATAATGTATTTTAATCACGTATTTCTTATATTGATTGATCGAATAAATTTCTATAATTTTATTGTTTATCAATGGCAATATAAATTAGATTATCTTGAAATGTAAAAATTATTATAATTGATAAAAGTATTTTATATGATATTGAAACGTAACTATATGACAAAATGTTCTAAAATATATTAGTAACCCTGGCGGAAAGTTATTACGAAAAACTACATAGATTAAGACAATATCTTAGAAATTCTTAGTTTTTCGTAAATATTTTTTTCCGCCAGGGAAATTTTTAATTTTACCACTACATTTCCGTCTTCCACTTATATGACAATATACTTAATTGTAATCATTTATTCCGATTGCAAATTGCACACAATCGTGATACTTACTCAGTTCAACGCTTCCTACCACACACTACCTATCTGTGTTTAGCACGATCACTTTATGAAAGCACGGAAGACGCTCTCACAAATGGGTAGTTCATTGTGTCAGAGTTGAATGTGAAGTGGCGCCATAGCAAGCCCTCGAAAAAGTTTGATAAATAGCCTGATATTACAACTTGCTTCGAAAGGATTACCAATCAATAATTGTCTGTCGCGAATTTATAGTACCAGTTATAGAAAGAGAATATCGCGTGTCCCGAAGAGAATAAGTTCGTAGAAATGAATGTACTTTAACTACCTGTTATGTTTGTCTTTATTCGGTTATATGCAATCTTACTTCTTTTACTGTTAGGAAGGTAAATATATAATTTCTTTGTACATGAAAATTGAGCCCTCATATCTTCTATTATTTATGTTGTTTGACCGATTTTTTGTTTCTTATAGAAAATTAGTATTTCTTAAATGGAAAAATGATTATAACCATGAGAAGAATCATAAGATATTTTATAATAAATTTTTTCAAATTATATATTAATGACACATTATGTACATGACACATGTATGACACGATTTTGACGAATCATAGATTTTATTTATTAACCTTTATTGCATAGTGTCTCATACAGAATATAGGGTACCTATTTCTTTGTAGATTTTCCGTATTTTATAATTTAATAATTGATAGTTATCGGTACAATGAACTTATACTTTTCATGAACACAATTGACAACAAATTTCGTTTTAATAATCTATATGAAAAAAAAATAAATTTTAATACAAATACTTATTTTCAAATTATTAGTTATTAATTCATATAATTATTTAGAAATTTATTATAAGACAAGAGGATATGAGTTTTTTTAATGAATGCCTGCTTGTGAAATACCTCAATATTCTCAAATGATGTTCTACGATAGCAGCCAGTTTTTTGTTCAGTTTTATCATTTTCCTTCGCCTGGTTTTGAATTAGTTCATGTAGCCACACGTAAGCACGTTCAACAGACCACAAGCATGTATCGCGAAGACAGCAGCCAAACTGCAGCTACCGACAGTATAGAAACTTACTGGTATTAGTGTCATGTTTTGCAGGACCAACGCGATTTCATTCATAGGAGTAAATCTCGTATCGATGATTTTGTTGTAAATTGGGTACGATATTGTATATGTTGTTTCATTGCCGATGGTGATGGTTACAGTTCTTATAGATTGCACGAAGATGAACAATACACAATCGCTCTGTAGCATTATCTTACAGATTATGGTAATGTAACGGCCATACTTGACATGTTGTAGAATCACGTCACGTTCGTCGATTCTTTGCATGAGGCTCCAATCTGTCTTCATAAGTATTAATTTTTGAATATTATCTCTACGCTTGAGCAACACCCAGTAATGTATCGAGCCCATATATATAGCTCTATAAAGCAGCGGCCTCATGGCATTCAACTTTTGCTTGATATTGTTTGCTTCAAATAACACATATGACGTATCATTGGGACTGCTATTATGCTTGAACAAATGACAATTTACAGTAATGTCATGATTTTGTACACTGAACTCGGCATATTTATTTGTGGTCATGCACCGATTGGCTTGACGGACCATCTATTAATTTGTAAATTGTAATCGGTATTTTTTTATTTTTGATATGTCGCTTTTTGATACACGTTTGGAATTTGACATAATCACTGCACGTAAGCACACGGTGTACTGCCACGGATAGACAATTCATTGTGCCAGAGTATAAAGAAACGTCTGCACCAATCTTCAGAAGAGTTTGGTGCTCGATCTAACGTTACAAAGTTACTCTGACAGGTACGTATATTCCATCGATAATCGTTCGTCTAGAGTTTTTATTGTCAGATGTCTGAGAGAATATTGCATGTCACGTGGAGTGTAAGGTATATATTCGTGAAAGTAACAATAAAAAGGTGCTTGAACTTGAACTTAGCAGATTTTCTTGATTTGATATGTTATAATTATATTTTCTTATATCAATTTTCAAGGCAAGTTAATTAAATGGCGATAAAAATTAGAATATTTTGAAGTAAAGAAAATATTATAAATATAAATGTGGAAATCAGAAAAATATATTGCATTAATTTTTTAGTAACTTTATGGCCAGTAATCCTATACCATTCTAACGTTATAATTAATTTTATTTGTTAAACATTTACACTGTAAGTATATTAAAAGTACATTAAAAGTATATTAAATTGTAAATGTGTATGTCATACAATTATTAATATTATTTATTAATCCTTTACTACGATTGTGAATCTTCGAACTACTAGAGTAAAAATTTTAGTCGGTTGACTCCATGTATGGTTGATCCGACGAGGTTCTAAATCTAAATTGTACGTAAAAAAACTTTGTTCTTTATTGATCGTTCAATCGCGGAGATTCAGTACACAAATTCAGTAGATACTTCATACAGGATAGTTTAGAAATCTTATTCGTGTCATTATAACGTTCATAAGAAAAATATATTATAAAATATTAGTAGATATCTTTGAAAGTATGTTAATATGTGATTTATAATGTTGATTTTTACGTGATTATTGATCTTATTATTAAGTTGTTTTTACGCGCATAATATTCCATATATTATAGTATATATGACCTATATATTTGTTTGGAATTTTCCTATGTTTTACAATGTCATAATTGCTTGTATTTGTATGATTATTTTCAAAGTATAAAACATAGGATACATACATATTTGATATTGTTATGTAAGTTATATTTCTCCCTAAAAACATGAGCAACATAAATATTTTATTATTTTATTTCAACACATATTATAAGAACATAAGCCGAGCCAAAATTAAAATTTTAACAAGAAATTCTTGCTTGAAGTAATATGATGATGATGCCTGAAAATAATCTATATTGGTGTTTCTCAGGTCAGTGATTTTTAATTTTAGAGAAACAAATCGTTAAATTTTTTTTCGGGATATACTGATTTGTTCTATATAAAATATATAATTTGTATATTTCTTAACTTATATTTCACATAATCATCTTTTACATAGTCATTGTTCGCAAAAAATTTAAATATACCATCGAAGTTTTAATTACCTGAAACAATAGTACACTTGTTTCTGTACACTGAGAAAAAAATATTTCATTGAATTGATTGAAATTCTGGTGGAAAATGGACATAAATGGTGAAAAATCCAGAATTCTGGTTAAGTCTACTAAACTTCCAATTAAATCTAATAGAAATGTAGATTTAACTAAGTAAATTCTGAATGTTGATTATCTCAATTAGAATTCTAATAGATTTAAGTAGAAATCTAGTAGATTTAATCAGAATTCGGGATCGTTCATTTTCCACTTTAGAATTCCAATTAATTCAACCAAATATTTTTCTCTGTAGAAAGCAAAGAAAATGTATTATATATATTGTATATCAAATTCTATAAATTAGACACATTTACAGATTTTTAAAAATTTGATATCTTAAATCAAACACATTCATGTAATTGAATGTATGGATGTGTTAAAGGTAATGGATGTTTTAATTATATATTATAAATTGTAAAATAAAAAAAGTGCAATCATTATAAGATGATCATAATTTGAAATTAATAAAGTACAAGGAAATTGTATAATTTATTGACCATAGAAAGGAACGGTATATTTGTATTACTTACATCACCAAAGGTTGCTATGGATAAATGGAATAACTTTCCTGCTGTGATCT